TAATTTGCGTCTTTTTGGTCGACAGATTATTAGAGAATTGTCTGAAGGAAATCTTTTCACTTCATCGGTTTATCAAAATTTGTGGCCTTAAATCCATTATCACACCAAAGGATTAAATAAAATACTATGTAGGTACAGTGGGTACCACGTATTCAATGAAATACTATGTGGATACTGTCAGTACCAAACGATTCAATCAAACACTATATAGATACAGTGAGTATCAGAAGTTCGATTCAACACTGTGTACATACAGCGAGTTCTAAGGATTCAATAAAACACTATATAGACACTGGCAGTACCAAACGACTCAGTCAAACACTACATAGATATAGTGAGTACCGACGATTCAATAAAATACTATATAGGTGTTGGTTAAACCCATTAAAGTCTCCTTTTTATTATCTTTCAATCGAGTCATCTCTCTATTTGCTCTCTCTCTCTCTTTTTTTCTCTCTGCCTTTCACTCTCTGATTCTCTCTTTAGATTCTGATAAGAAATCGAAATTTTTACTAGAAAGTTTACCGACCACTGAAGTGATCTTAATGTATATATGCTGAGCTGCTTTGCCGCATATGGGTTACAGATTTAGTTCAATTTATTAAATTCTATTAATAATTTTTAATGATAATAGAATTTATACAATAATAATCGTTATTGCAATTAAGATTGATGTTGTACTTGTAAAAATATAAAGTCAATTACGGCACAATTGCAAACAAACATGACACATTAACATATCATAGTTACATAGTACGGCACAGCAGTTAAGCATAGATGCAGAAGCAATTGTAGGCTTGAGAAGGCCTTTTACCTTCTAGAACAAACAATCATTTTGATATTGAATGGTAGTGAGGGTCACGATATAATCGCGTCCATGAAAAATAGTCTTAAATGTGATATATATTTGCGGTCAGGCAGGATCATATTCATTGCCCGACTTGTCAGACTTGAACAGGTATGTCTTGGTTAATATAGAATAAAAATCTTTAAACTTTTAAAAAAAAATGTTTTCACGTTTTTGCTAAAACATACATAGTAAGCAAATTTTCATACAGAATTGTTTGGTAAGTTAGAAGAAATGTAACATTTGTTCTTCATGCGTACCGGTTGCTAGCTTCAAAAAAGGAAAACCACTACAGTGAGACGCGGCTCATTAATAAATTTGTTTAATACAGTTATTAATATAACGGCTTTTCAAAATAACACTTTATATGAAGAGGGGACGAAAATGTCGTCAGATCCGAACCATTTTCAGTAACATTCGTTCTTCGACCAAAAAGTATGGATGTATCAAAGTTCATCAAAATTGCGGGTTGCGGTTGACGGACACACGGAAAGGCAAGCTTATTTCGCTTTCGCAAGCGATTCTGAAGCAATCGATATAATAAATGGTGGACGGACATACGGACATGCTTAAACTGATTCAGATGCTGGTTAAGTATATACATATGTATATATATGGTGTGTAACATCTCTGAAGTTTCCTTGTGCGCGTTGCAAACGTTCTGGCAAAATGGATCTATCCCTTCTCGTTCGGTCATGGATATAACCAGTAAAAACACTACACCATCCCGCATTCATAGAACGCCTTTTAAAATAAAGGCTACATATGGTAAATGGCCGAAAAGTTGGGCCAATCCGAACCATTTTCAATAGCTTCCATCCTTAGGTTAAAAATGTTGATTTACCAAATTTCATCAGAATATCTCAAAAATTTGCAGATTGTAGGTTGAACAAAAGAAAATATAATGGATGGACAGACAAGCTTAGAATCATTTTCTGAATTGATTAAAAAGATAAATCTATCTTAGGTTCTTCTGGATGTTACTTACATCCCCCGAAACTTACTACACCCGTGCAGCGCAACGGCCGTAGGTTATAGAAACTCAAAAGCGTAAGGAATGGACACGTTTGCGTTAAATGCATATAAAAATTGTTTTTTTTTTTGGAAAACTTTATCCAAAATTTCCTAAACTATGCAAGCTCATCAATATTCCATTGTTTACATATTTTTGCAAACCGTTTAACAGATCTAGGTAGGATGAATTCTCAGCGATCCTCTAAACTTAATAACTTTCAAATTCTAATAATATATGACATTTCTTTCAATTCGCATTAAAAAAAAAGAAGAAATTTGGTGAATAATTTTAAAAGAAATATACCCGAGGTTTCATTTAAAATCTCTTTCTTAATTGTATTTTACCCTAATTTGGTTTCGTACTTACGTGTAAAGATTTAACTCTTTTTGCTTTCTATAGAAATTTAACTAAAACTTCGTCTCTTTTATTCTCTCTCTCTCTCTCTCTCTCTCTCTCTCTCTCTCTCTCTCTCTCT